ATTATGACTTTAATCTCGTAATATTACGACTTTAAAAACTCGTAATATTATGACTTTAATCTCGTAATATTATGACTTTATTCTCGCAATTTAAAATAAAATAAAATCTCATTATGTGGCCCCATTTCTCCATCATACAAACCTACCCTGATGCTTTGGATTATTCAGTTCAACTGTTGCCCACAGCTGAGCTACTTTAACACGTCTTACAGCTGCTCTGTATTTCACCGCTTTGAGTATTGACAGTAAAAAATATTAAATAAAAAAAAAACTCCAGTGTTGTGGCACTTACATACATTTACTTTTATATATTTTCTTGAAATATAGGCAAGTTTACAGAAAAGCTAAATGCAGAAACGATAATTATAACTGAAATAGGATATTTTTTCAAAAATAAAAATGTGAAAATTACACGGTGCAAAATGCTTTTGTATCATCATCTTTCCCCAACAAAACCAGCAGCTGTGGCTTTTTCTCTTGCAAAAGCACTTTGTTACTGTTCCGAASCTACAGCTCCATAAGTGAGCAAACATGATGTTATGGTGCCCTCGTGTGTCTTCTACAGCAAACTGAGCTTCATACACATTTAAATAYGTCTTATGGATGCGTTATATGCAAAAAAAATAAAAAGTGCAAATGTAGCTTGAACAGATCAAAGAAAAACATTTTTCTTCAAATATAATTTTTGTTTTGGTTCCAAACATTTCCTAAAGGCTAAAAAGATTCAAATGGCTTGTTTAATCCAATTACAATCTTCACATTTACTCGACTTAATGGTTGACATTTTTGGCTCAGTAAGAATAAAACCCATTCACTTCAATTTGATCAAGCTGTAAGGATAAAAACTGCTGACTGGCTCTGAATTATTTATTGCCACTTCTCAGTAGCTGCACTTGCACTCCACGTCCTGCAAATCTAGGCACGTTGATACAAATTATATTTTTTTTTAAAAAAAGGCGGCATTTTTTAACAGTAGTCCGTGAAACAGAAGCTTTTTGACGTGTCGTTGAATCGTGTCCGTTGAAGACTCACTATGATTGATCAGTGAACTGGTTCAGTTCTGTCCCAAAGAGAAGATAATTTGATGCTAATGGGCTAAAAGATTAATCCTGTAAATCTGTACTGAGCATCAACTGTTCTGTCTCCATCTTTTCAATCCTCCTCCAGGAACAAAGCCATCCTCAAAGCGCTGCGAGGGTCCTCAGAAGTTTGACGTTTCACTCAAAGCGAACAATCTAAAGTACAGGGTGGTGTTTACGGTAGAATTTTACGACTATAAGATGTCAGACGTTCATAAAGGTAATATAAGATTCAGAACAACAACAGGGTAAACTTGGGAGTTTTTATACGATTAGGATGGTTTTGTGTCTCTGGGTGGTGAAGCTGCACAAGCAGATCTGGGATCAGTTTCATGGTCCGGCAACGTAAGCTTCCCCCCACTCCCACCCCCCCAACAGCTTCAGGTTTAATTTCTCATGGGTAGTTTGATGCGTTCCTGCAGGACAGACAGCTCCTCGATCAGACGTTTGAAGGAGATTCTCCTGTCAGGCGTGTGCTCCCAGCACCTCTTCATCAGCTCGTAAACCTGTCGAACATGGACCCTGTTAGCGCCGCTGCGTGTTTTAGTCTTACGAGCTAGAATCCATGCATGCTCCACAAAACGACCTTTAAGACACGATCTAACATCGGGTAAAAGTGTCAAAATATATTTTAAAAGACATCTGGAATTCAAGCAGAGATGCTTGGAAACTATCAGTCATTTGTAAASGTGTGTGCTGTGAAGCTGGTAAAGAGTTGCTCACCGGCTCGGGGCAATCATCAGGACAAGGCAACCTCTTTCCRTCCTGCAGCACCTTCACCAGGTGGATAAGAGTCATCTGGCCCTGAGTTTTACCCATCATTTCCATGAAGCGCTGTGGAGGAAAGAAGACTTAGCTGCTCCGTACTTCATTTTGATTTAAAACATGAAAATGGAACCCAAACCAAAAAATAAATAAATAAATAAAGACAATTCGAGTGGAAGAAACTTTGAGACATCATCCCAGTCCAGGATGGGATGCATCTAAAAATAATTATAAACCTCCACCTCTCGAGGTCTTTAGAAACTGTTCATTAGCTATGTTTACATGGACAAAATTTTTGGATCGGATTGAAATGTATTCAGATTAAATAATCTGAATGTACTGTTTACATGGACACAATCCGATCATGACAAGTGTTTACATGCACCGGAGTTTTATTCAGAATAAAAGTCCGGACAGTGTTGTAAACGTTCAGCTCTACTTCCGTGTTACAAATGTAAACAAAGCTCCTCTGTGCGTTCAGGACGGACCCGTGTCAGCT